AGAGGGGGGCCCGCACCTATGGAGATGGCTGGTGGGATGAGGGGTTGTCCCCCCCCCAGCCTTTTACAGGTTTTTTAGGGCCAATTATAGGTGGTTTTTAGGCCATTTTTATATATGTTTTTAACTATTTATAATTATGTCTATGGCTGGAGAGCCCTGTGTTTTTTATTATTATTGTGAGCCGCCCAGAGTCACCCATTGGGGGAGATGGGTGGCATACAAATTTGAAAAATAAATAAATAAATAAATTTGAGTGTTCCACTGGCAACTGGTTTATGCAGCAGACAGCCAACAGTTTTGACTGGTAGAGATTTTGCTGTTTGTTTCTCCAATAAAAAGGAAACAATTACAATAATTCATGTCGATCCTGCCTGAAAGCAATGACTATACAAATAGCCTTAATTTCTACTGAATTGGAGCACTAATTGAAAAATAATTTATCATAAGGCCTTTGAGTTTCACTCACTTGATGAGTCCACTGATATAAACAGGTAAAATTGCTTATCAGCGATTACTGTGCCCATATTTAGTGAACTTGCTCAGAAAGAACTGTTGAAAATACTTGCTCTAAAAAGGACAGTAACAGGTAAAGCTATAGTTCAGCTTTTTATAAATCATGCTACATAAATACTTTTCAAAAATATAAGCTTTCATCTTTCAGCAACAGTAATGGTGGGGAGCATCAATGAGTGTTGTTTACTGCAAAAAAGAGAGCTCTTGTTGGAAAGTTTATTTCATATTACAGTGTTATTTGCCTGGGAAAAATGTATAGTACTATATCATAAATGCATTCACACATACAAACACATGCACACACATTTTCACATAATAACAAAACTATCCAGATGGCTCCTTGCATATAGACTATTTATGGCACGTCAGTGGGATGCTAATGCACAAGCAGAGCAATCTTAATTTGCACTTTGAAGGAAAATAAATAATTTGGCTATCTCGTAAAGATGTAGGAATCAAGAAGTTCTCTGTTGAATATTTCATGCAGGTTAGCAGATTTAGCTTTCATTTGGATCTGATCCAAAGCTAAATAATTTGCCCATTAAAATGTCCATCAAGAAACTGCACCAAAACAAAAGAAGAAATAGCCTGAGTCAATATATCAAGCTAAGTAGTAACATGGTTTGATGTTGGCTTAATATATAAAGTAATCACTGTTGATCAATCATGGTTTATGTTTAATAAATTGAAGCAACTGTAGTTTATTCAATAAGCAATCTCCTATGCAACAGAAGGCCACTGAGATGAAAACAATGTACTTCTAAAATGACTTCTTTTTAAAACTCAAATTAAAATCACAACACTTTCTAGAATTTAGTTCATTTGCATTAGTTGCTTTTGTTGAGAGAGATCCTTGGAAACATCCAAATACTTCTGGACAACATAAGGCTTCCCCTTTCCTTCCTTTTCTTGATTGTAGCTTCTCGTGCTGAATAAATTAATGTTCCTGAAGGCTTTGGGGTTCAGACACTGGGTTGAGCAAAAGTTCAGAAGTTCCAGAAATCAGTTTGCACTCCCCTGGATTTAATTCAGATATGACTCTAAACCATGGATCAAGAAACATTCAAATAAATATTCCATAATATGCAATTTGCTAGTCACTATAATTTGAAATCAATTTGGGACACAAATTTTTGCTAACTAACAGTGAATTAGAATGACACCTGACCTTACAAATCAAAGTTCTAGGAAGGAACATGGAATATTGCCTGGCACTAACTTAAGACCTCAAGTCTATTTAACTTAGCATTATTTAAATGACTGGCACTGACTCCACAAGAGTCAGACCTACATGGAGATGCCAGCCAACAAACCAGGCTTCTTTTCTAGGCAAAGCAGAAGCTCTACCACTAAATGAAAACCTTTCCCTATACTTTCATTTGGCTTCTAGCTATCGTTAAACTTCAAGGCTACCGTGCACAGTTGAGACAGCCAAGAAACAGAAGACAAAGGCACACTGCCTATTCCAAGCAATAGTCTGCCTATACCCTTGCTCCTACATGATGCCAGAAGTGTACTGAGATATCTTGGGCAGATATCTTGAGATGGTGGTGGAAAAAAATAACCCTCAGCTTTGGTACTGCTTAACAGTTTGAGGAAATTGGTACAAGTATAGAAAGAGGTAAAACTAAACTTTTTTTTTCAGATGTTATGATTAAAGGGACATGTAACACTAATTTCCAATTAAAAGTTTTATTATTATTTTAATGTGGTATTTATTATCCGTAAAATACCTTTGTAAACTTGAATTCCCAAAGACAGATTAAAAAACAGAAATAGTTATAAACATACAAGCACACTGCTTATCATCCAAAATGTTTGCAGTGAACAGTCATTCCAGCCTTCTTTATTTGTATGCTTTGTACCAATTCTTATTTATAATTGTCCACATTCTGTTTCCATGAATTTTTCTGTTTGTTATTTAAAATGGGTTTAATGTACTGCAGTTCACATCTCAATTGTTTTTGTATAGCTTTGATTCTTACGGAACAGGATGTTCAATTCCACGACCTTTGAAGTCGGCCATATACGCCCTGCACTGGCTGTTACACACATGCTGGTTCCCTCAGAGACTGAGCTACAACCCAATGGTGATGCACAAGAACTTGTCTTGGATCCTTTAGGAAACAAGTTTTTGAATAATACGCACTTCAAGCACAGCTGGAAGCCCATTCCTCTGGGTTGGTCTCCCTAACTCCTTCCTTCCTTCCTGTTCATATTTCTGAGTGTCGAGCAAACCAACCAGTTGTGTTTTGGACTCTCTCTCTTCTCTAGAGAGTCTGGATAAGTCTCCAGTCCTCCAGCTGGGTGCAACTCCTCAGGAAGAGATAATCCTACAATACTGATAGTGTTTGGAAATCAAAGCCAGCAAGGGCAATGTGGAGAAAAGGCAGAGTCTTGTTATAGACATTTGAGGCGCACAGCTAATTGTTCTGCCTATTTTAAGGACTCCTACTATTGACTATTTACTCTTTGCATCAAGCTGAACTCTCATAGTCAGACATCTGCTAATGTCTCCATGCCCAAAAAGGACTATTAACAAACCTTGCCATTTCCATCTCTTTCTCCCTCGATCTGATGGTGCTGCTACAGTGACTATTATATACTATATCCTATATCAGAATATAGGAACCCACAGTGGGGACTGTGAAAATTGTAACAGTATCAGAAAACAGTCAAGATTGCAGCTAGGTAGGGATCACTCACAACTAGGAAGAATTTTGATATACAATAAGAGTATTGTATCTCCACTTCAGAAAACATAATGTATTATTTCAGCTGAGGAACAATTTTAATACTTCAAAATGGTACAGTAATAATTTGCTATAATAATGTGCCAAACCACAAACTGTTCTAGGTTCCACACAAAGAATTCCGATATTTCCGATAACTAGTCAAGTTGACATAATATTTGGCCATCCTGCTTAATTTCCTTGGCACCAGTATCTGCAAGCATCTTCACTACCATGATATGAGCAGCAGTCTTCAAATACACAGCAGCGCTGTGTAAGAGACCTTTTGAAACTCCTTCTTCATCTCCATCAGAGATTGTCTTCATGTAGTTCCAGACAACAAATTCCTTCTGACTGAGAAGAGTCATGTCATAACATGAAAACTATGATGAGTATGACCAGCAAGAGGATACTAATAGTTTGTCTGCTATCTCCTGATGTCCTCCGAGCATGCAGTACTGCAAAAACAGCATTTGTGTGATTTGTTGGTATATCTACATTGCAAATCATCCCTTCACAGCAGGAAATGCATTCCTGTAAATTGTAATAGATAATGTTATTACATGGAAGCCATGGTGCTTCTTGATTAAAGGAATCAATCAATGAATTGCATCAATTTGCACATGAAAATTACAACCCATTCTGAAGAAAAGAGATGCTCTCTTTTTAGATACAATGCATTCTCCATTTTAAAACACAGTCTTCAACTAACAGAAAACATCATCTTATGAAATATAATATATCTACCATCCAGCTTTGTATAAATCATTAATAATATATTAAATAGCTGCTGCTAGATTCCTTGGGAATCTTTTCAAAAATTAATAAAACTTTTAAAATTTAACTGTAATCTACATAACAATTTTGCTAATCAATTGTAATTAAAACACTGGTTACGTGCAGCATATTATATTGCTGTATTATCTAACAGTGCCTTTATTCCAGAAAACAAATGCATATTTAAAGAGATTGCTAGTCTTGAAAGAAAGAGAACTGTCACTACCTTCACTATTCAAAGAAATAAGGGAGACTGAAGCTACAAGGACACTTATAACTAAAATATGCAATAAACTATAAAATCCTCCATATGCTGGCACTGCAATTTTACTGTGATCTTGGTTTTCAGATCAGGAAAAAACAAAAAACCACAGGAGGATAACACAGAAAATATTGGAACACCTACAATTGGCAGATTGCTGGATGTTTGTTGCTGTTGTTGAAAAATGAATGAGCAACAGTTGTTTATTCCCAAGAAAAGATCTGATGTGGAAGCAAATCTCAGTGCTGCAGCCCAACCAATACTGTGCAACATAATTCAATACTATTAACATGCTACATGCTTCCCAGTCTTTAGTTATAATACAGAAGTCTGCCTTCCTTTGTGCATAGAAAAAAATACGCATTTGTGAGCAGCAATAAGGAATGTTCTAGTGCGCCACATTAGTTTTATTAATTCTACTTCGATGGTCAGGGAAGCAACCATAATTCTCATGTTATGAGAGACAATTTAATCAAGAATGATATTCCAAAAATGGGCAGTGAAGTCTTTGATCCATTGTTAGAGCAGTGCCCAAGCACAGCATCCTGTCCAATTGTCTACACCAATTCCCACTATTATAGGTGGCTGGTGCCTCTCTCAGACAGAATTCATACATTATCTAGATCAAAATGTATTTAGGCATGTGTAAATATTCTCTTAGCAAACTAATCATACAGCTGCCAGGAAAAAAACACAAAGACTGAGGACCCAGATTATCAGAGCTGTACTTAAAAAAAATATCTAAATTCTATATAGATGAAACTCTGAATCTTGAATTATTTATAATTCAGCAAAGCATATATTCAGCATAATAAATCCTGCTTTTACTGATTATGAAGAACCCATGATAGCCATGTTGAACATTGAAGCCTCATTTTGTGCTATGAATCTTAATAATTGTTATTCATCCCTGCCTTGCTTCTGTATTAAGCAATACCCATATTTCATTATGTGGACTGCTGTAAGCTTAAGGACTAGAAATGTGAAAGAAAAGGAAAAAAGAGGAAAGAAAGTAAAGAGCTTCAGGGTATTAAAGTGTACATTTTTATGTTTGCTCTGCACTTGGATGGAATCATAAAATAGAACCTGCCATACTTGTACAGGTTGAGGCATAATCAAATTGAGGGAAATCTCTCATTCCTCAGATCTAAAGTTGACGTATGTGACATAAGGCAATTCCACACAGCAGCCAAAGCTGCTGGTCTCCCGGGGTGTTCCCAGTGGTTTCTTAAGTTAACTTCAAAAATTTCAGCCTGAATCACAGTGGCTTGGCCACGGGGCTGGGCTGATACTCAGTCTGGCATATGGCTACCGGAAGACCCGACTGCTCATTCGCCTGCTTCTTGCCCTTATTGGCTGGCTTCTGTGGATTAGGCCCTCTCCTTCCAGGGATTATTCCCTTCTCACTAGTCCCCGTGCCTTTCCTTGGCTTTCCCAGAGGTCTGCATCCATGGCTGCCTTCACGTCCCCTTCTCACATTATTTCCTTTGACACTAAATCAGACCTTTTCTCCCCCCAACCCCACCCCTTATGGTACCATTGTGGCTCCCTTGCTACAATAATTAAGGAAATAGAGAACAGGTTGTTCTTTTGATCCTATGTTCCTCTAGAGGTCCACAGAAATGTTACAGCAACAAAGTTCAGCCTCACAGAAACAAAACAGAAGTGTTCCTACAGGTACAACTTAAATATATTTTAAAAGGAAAAGGAAGGGAAGCTTTGCAGTACTGTGTGCAAAGAAGGGAAAAGCAAAGGCATCATGCTTCATCCAGTCTGGGCAGAAACTGAGAGGCTGCTCACTGGGAGACGAACGGGGTGAATACAACGTGAACTTCCAGTGGTGAGGTTAGTTCACTGACTTAATATTCCATCACTGGATCACTACAAGATTATTAAAAAAAATGCAGAGCCCAGCAGTCCAGGATGAAAGCTGGGTGAAACAGACTGGCTCAGGTTGGCAAAGGAGTGCAACAAGGCTGTATACTCTCCCCTTGTTTATTCAGTCTATATGCTGAATATATATTAAGGGAAGCTGGATTGGAAGAAGATGGGCATAGTTTTAAAATTGGAGGAAGAAACATCAATAACCTGCACTATGCTGATGATGCTACTTTGATAGCTGAAAATGCAAAGGATCTCCAAGCTCTTGTAATAAAAGTTAGGGAGCAAAGTGAAAAACCTGGACTAAAATTAAATATAAAGAAGACCAAACTAATGACAACAGGTACAACAACCAGCCTTAGTATTGGCAATGAAGATAATGTGGTGAATAGCTTCTGTCTTTTAGGATCAAACATCAACAATAAAGGAACAAACAATCAAGAAATCTGCCACAGACTAGCTCTTGGTAGGGCAGCCATGAAGATCTTGGAAAAGATATTCAAATGCTATGATGTGTTTATACCTACAAAGATCAAAATTGTGCAAGCCATGGTATTCTGTAACACTCTATGGAAGCAAAAGTTTGATTTTGAAGAAGCAGGATAGGAAAAGTATTGATGTCTTTGAACTTTGGTGCTTGAGAAGACTCCTGAGAATACCATGGACAGCCAAGAAAATAAACCAATGGATCATCGAACCAATCAATCCAGAGTTCTCACTCGAGGTACAAATGACCAAGCTCAAATTATCCTACTTTGAACACATATGTGAGGACTTAGTTCTTTGGGAAAGGCTTTAATGCTGGGAAAGGTGGAAGAAAAGAGAAGAGGACGAGCAGCAGCAAGGTAGATGGACTCAGTTACAGTGGCAATGAGTGCACCGTTGGAAGACCTGAAAGACCAGGCTAGGGATAGATCACCATGGAGAAAATCTATCTATGTGGAATCAGAAACTACTTGATGATGCCACCTGTCTGTCTATCTTAGAATGCAGATCATATTTTTTTTCTTTTTCTGACATCTGTGCATTCAGGGCCACCAAGGTTCTGATACTATTAGATTTTTAACTGATGTAATTGCTTTCATTCAAAATAGAGAAAATGAAGTAGCCATTTTTATTAAATACAGATTAAAAAAATTAATATAATTTCTTGGAGATTTCTGAAGTGAGTTTTGAGTTATTCTGGGTTTCTCCAGAGTTGTACTTTGAATAGGCACGTTTTATTCAACTCCCAGATCACAAGTCAATAGCATGTTTCTCCCTGTTTTAAACTTACCATACAAGTCAAAGATGCCCTAATTCTACTTTTCTTTCCTTTTTATCTTTGGTTTTAGAACCTCTTGCTTATGCTTGTGCATGTTAGAACTGTGAAATCAGTAACAGGATTGCAGTAGATAAGAGAATTTCTGTAGTATGTAGATGATGGAGATACTTAGGAAACTTTCTTAGCAGCAATACTGGCAAATATCCCAAATTTTGATCTCCAAGATACAAGAAGTATGCATTGTGGGAGGAAAGCCGTGTTAGTCTATGGCAGCCCAAAATCAGGAGGAATCTGGTAGCACCTTTTCAGACTACCAATTTTATTAAAAGGCATAAGCATTCATAGGACGCAACCACTTCATCAGATGCAATGGAGTAGCTAGACATCAATAGGATTTAAAGTGGAATGGGGAAAGGGGAGGGGAACACAGATGCAGATTACATGTGAGATGCATTTCAAGTACCTTATCAATTAACACATTACAAGTACCTTATCAAATTTAACAATTTGTAATATGTTAAAAACCCATTGTGTTTGTTGAGACCTTCTGGGACAGCCTGAAGCCTTTTCATGTTGACATTACTAGTTTTGTGTTCTGATGTCATACTTTTGTCCCTTATTTCTTCTGTGCAAAGTTTGGCCCATTTGTCTTATGCTGAATTCAGAGGGAGACTGCTGGCAGATGAAGGCATATATCACATTAGAAGAAGAGCATGTGAAGGTACCTCTAATCTTGTGTGTGAAGTTGTTGGGACCTGTGATGGGGCTGCTGATGTAAATGTGGAGGCAAAATAGATATCTGGATTTGTTGCAGGATCTGGTTCCCATATTAGCATCATTGTTCTGTTAATTCTTGTTCCTTGTAAAAATCTGCTTCAGTTTTGATGGTTGTATATATGCAAGTATGGGCCTGCCACCCAGTGCCTGAGAAAATGCAGTGTCATCGTCAAGTATCGGCTGGGGGTGGGCGGGCTTTGTGTCTTCAAGTTAGTCTTGACTCCTGGCAACTCCCTAGACAAGTTCCTGTTGTTTTCTTGGCAACACTTTTTGGAAGTGGTTTGCCATAATTTTGTTCCCAGGGTTGAGAAAGAGTGACTGGCCCAAAGACACCCAACTAGCTTTGTGCCTTAGGCGGGACTAGAACTCATGGTCTCCCAGTTTCTAGCCTGATCTTAACCACTATGCCAAACTGGCTCTCAGTATGGATTGTAGCTTACTAATAATGTATTTAAGTGGCTTTTCTTGAGTTGTTTTCATTTCATTTATGATATGTATTTCTGGGCTTTTCCTTCCCCCTCTTAAGATTTTTGATACCACATTACATTATTATCACAGTTATACATGTTCATATATTTTGTTGACCTGTTTGATGTAACAAATGTTATTTATCTACCTACTACCTACTGAAAGAAAGGCATGTTGTTCATTCTGAAGGCTAGTGTTTCATCCTAGAAATTTACTCAATGACTAATATACTTTTGATGTAAACAGTCATCCTTGAACCACATGAGAACCAATATTCTAAACGAGTCAAGAAACTACTAAATGAAGAAGCTTTAATTCCATATCTGGAAATCAATCCATTCCTCTTAACCTCTCTTACATTAAGAGCTATTTTATGGCATACAAAAAACTACTGAGACTGTTCCTGGAGACAGACAGATAAATGCAGGAAGAAACCCAAAACTCAGCTGGATCCATCATGGTTCTCAGGCAGAAACTCAACCTTGTCTTTTGGCATCTGTAGATATTGCCAAGTATTCCATGGGGAGATTCAATCTACTGAATAGAAAGGGTCTCTGTGTTCTAAGTGATAGCTTTATACCAAAATGTGATGCTTACTGTATGACTAGTTTCTCTGTGGCGATGGCAGCCAACAAAATGGCATTCTTCCCTGGTAGCACATTTTTTGGTGACAGAGAGGCTCCTTCCATGACTAGTAAAGTGATGGACTGTTAAACAGTACTGAGTGTCTAGACAATAAAGAAAGAGAAAGAGAAAGAAGAAAACAAAAGGCAACATCAGAATTCTTTTACAATTATATTTTATAAGCTCAGTCATGCTGACTTATCTTTCTCACTAAAAATCAAAATCCTAGTAAATAGTTGCCCTAGAATTATTGATACATAAACCATGTTTTTCTTGACTGGAACATTTAACATATTGTTTTCCTATATTCTCTAACCTGAGGGTGTACATTTCCTGGTCCTTTTTCTTTTTAAATGATGAATGTCCAGACATCAACATATGCCCTTGCTTTCCACTAGCTACAGATTTTTCCAAATTGTGGAAAAAATGTACAACCACCCACCATAGTTGCTGATGGGGATTCTACCACATGATAGCCACTCAATGATTCTCCCTAATGGTTGGAAAATATGCATACTCCACTCTGCCTACATTCTCTTGACAAAAATCCTCTCTTCCCACCCAGAAGAGAAAGCAGCTATGTTGCATCTCCATGCAGCGGGCAGATTGTGGAGGAGAAACCAATGGTCATATTAGCTGGGGATTCTGGGATTGAACTTCTCAAGTTTGGAGGGCATCAGGTTGGGAAGTTTATATTGTATCAATGAAGGAATTGCTTATTAGTGATTGCTGTTTAATGTTGACCTGCTCTGGATCACTTGAGAGAGGATGCAGACTCTTCCTGTAAAACTGATAAGAAGAGGAGAAAGGGAACAGCCAGATGAGATGGACACTGGCCATTAAACTTTATAGCGACAGCTCAAAAGGATACTACAGATAAGCACAAAGTCAGCTATAAATGACCATTTTGATCAACACTGTGACAGGTGGAAGTACACTTAGACTTCAACTTTACTGTTAATCTCATGTCCAGGAAAACAGCTATATACTCCAGAAGTCATTAGTCTTTTGGACTGTTAAATCCTGCTTAACCACTGGATGCCCTTAATATGACTGAGTTAATTGGAAAAGCTAAAATAAATGTTTTCCATATACTTACTCTGAGGACACCATTTATCTTCAGCCCATCTGTTACAGTTGTAATTGTCAATAACATTGTCACAAGTAAAGCACTTGAAGCTGCTTGGAAATGGAGTAGCTTTAAAATTAAATGAAAGGGGGGGAAATGTTAAATACTTTATTCTGATGACTCTAAATTCTCCTATTCCCCTCAATTAGTCCCCAAACAGGAGGGAATTATTTGACAATATACTTTGTTAAATTAACATTTTTTTTTCCTAACACAATCGTAAGCACATTACTCTCCAAGTGGATAAACAGAAAAACCTTTTTTAAAAGGAGCAAAATCTGCTTAGCTTGATTTTAAACTTATGTCATGTCAGAAGACTGGTTCAGGTGAACCTAGAACAAATCCACAACTTGAACATTCTCCAGATGTGTAGATTTCAATTCCCAGAATTCTCCAGGCAGGAGAGCCACAACGGAACATTCTGGGTTCTGAAGACTACACATCTGGAGAGCAGCCAAGCTGGGAAAGGTTGACTGAGAAAGTAAGTCTGTGGCATGCCCAAATGGTCCCACATTAACAAGCTGCAAGCATCTGATGCAAGGAGAGAGCAGGTAAGTCCAATATTTGCTTACTCCATTGTGGGACATCTTTTTTTCCCCTTTGCAGTAAATGATATATGAGACATGTTGCTCTTTTTAACTAGGCACAACTTCCCGTATGCCAGTGTGTTGCAGTAAGGTTAAAGTGTTGGACTAGAAACAGGGTTCTAGGCCATTGACCATGGAAGCTCACCCTGTGTCTTTGAACCAGTCATTCTCTCTTAGCCCAACCTACCTTACAAGCCTGGTATTGGGGGGGGGGGGGGCCAGATCTTGCTTTGCACTTCAATATTAGAGCATACCGAATAAAAATACTAATACTGCTACCACTATCCATTGCCAATAAATGGATCAGATGCCTGAGAACTTTACGGAAGTAGCATGCACTGGGCTTCTTCTGACGCTACCTCCATCAACAGGACAAACATTCAAAACTGCAATACTCAATTAATGCTGCAGAACTTTTGCAAAGTGTATACACAGCAAAAGTATCAGCAGTGCACAGGGAAGGCAATAAAAAGGTATTATAACTTAATCAGGTGAACACCCAGGTGTACATTTCAGGCCATTAATCAGGAATTCCACCTAATAATTAACAATCACTGAAGACAGTCAAATTAGTGTTTTGCTTTTAGGCCTATGCATAATTGTAATATAAAATAACCTTTTAAAAAGGTTTGAGGGGCTTAACGTAGAAAATGCGGGAAATGTTTGGAAAATGGTTATTTACTGATGCAAAAGAACTGGAACTGGCTACTTACGGTCTACTGGAAGTCTCACGTTATAGAAGTTGATGTTCTTGGCCAAAATCCAGTTGCCTGAAACTATGAGGATCTGAACAAAAGCTGCAGCCAGCGTGTGACAGAGTAATGGCATACCGTTAATGTACATCAGAGCTTAATGCTCTCATACCTAAAAGAGAGGGGGGAGTGAAAAAAGGAGAGAAATGGCACTTTGTTATAAAAAAAAGAGCAAGAGGACTGGGTATATTTAGCTTAATTTCCACAATATTAGCCTCATAACACTGTTGATGGAATGATAATCAGGAAAATATCAGCCCTGCAAAACTAAGCTGTTCCTGCCTCCTACTGGTGAGGCTTGGGCTGTGCAGGAGAGCAAAACGGGCAGGCAAGCTCAGTTCTGAGCTTGAATGGATCGAATTAAGATAGTTAGAAGGAAAGTAGAAGACAGAGCTCGCAGGCAACTTATCCTTCATCAGGTAACATCTCTAATTAAGTAACAGACTTGAAATTTTTATAAACAGGTAACTGTCCCCAAACACATGCTCAGATCATCATCATGAATAGTAGATATAATCAGAATCCCTTTTCACACAGAAGATGCCCCCGTGCTTCCAAAGCAATTGAAAGCTTAGAAGACATCTTTTGGAGGTATAGATTTTACAAGGAATTGCGCTCCCAACCAATTCAACAGTTGGACTGCCTGGCCATTCGGACCAATGGTATTTAGAGTTTTTTGCTAAAAGAGAAGCATCCTGAAATCACCTACGTGATAGTAAATCCCATGCCTAAGCCCTAAGCTTCACTCTGTTCACAGCTGGCAACAGAAGTAGGTGATTTACTTAATGAGATTTTATTGTATCCTCAAAGCGTATTTAGTTGTTTCAACTTTCATAACCTGGTCTTGGACTCTAAGAAAATGTTCATTCCTACTCAGGTCATCTCCTTTTACTCTTGATTAATTAGCCTAAAATAATATGACACTGGGGTTTTTGAACTTCCACCGTAAAGGAGACTGACCTACTACTTCATACAAATATATAATTTGGGGAAAGCAAGGCAATGTATTGTTCTAAAATATTTGAATCACTTCAAATAAATAATGGCCTACTTTCAAAATGCTGAGCCCAAGGACATAGGATACAGCATTTTAACAGGAGCTCCTAGGCCACCATATGATTCCTAGGCAATGCACCATGTCTCATATTCAACCAAGCTGGGTAAAACTTCTCTGAATATATTGGAATTCCACAAGGAGAACTACAGAGCTCCAGAAGTAGATAACATTTTACATTACAAAAGTTATGTTCCATTACAGTACATATACCACTTATACTTCAAGTAAATGCAAACACACTCAGACTTTACAGCAGAATGCATAAGTGTACAAGCAAATACAACTGTTTGCTATGTGTTGTTCTTGCTATCAAGAACACAGGTAGTACAGAACAATATTGCACCAAAGCCTGATGAGATTACACACTCTACACAGAATGCACAGCACCACCTTCAAAAGCACCACTAGATGGCATGAGATAAGATTAGATCCATAATCCCTAAACAATTCTGGTACCCCAGGATTGGAAATCTAGCCAGTTGCTCTTTTCCCACTCAATATGCATGTAAAAGAATGGAATTCAAGGTTTATTTCTGAAAAACCTCTAGAGTGGGCACTGCAAACAAATGAAACTGACAAATACAGCACTCTCCTTAATATTACAATTCATTGCATATGATGCCAAGCAATAATTAACCACTTTCAGCAAATTAAATCAAAGTCTAATTCTTTTTAGACGAAACAGAGCAAGCTTATTTCCATACAAATAATGAAGGAATGATGAAGGAATCTGGGAATTAACAATAATACTCACAGAAGAGCACACACACACAACCACACAACAATGTATATCAACCCGGAACATTTTCCGTTTAGTGACCACAAACACTGAGCCCAGCACTTCTGCAGTACTGTTGTGCGATTTCTTTGGAATAATTCCTATTACCAGAATCCATATATAATGAAAAAGGGAGGGGGGGAGAGAGGGAGAGAAACACAGAAGGAAGGATCTTTTCCTAATATCAATCAACCACAGAATTGGAAAGGTCCATTTAGGATGTCATGTCCAATGCCCTGCTCAGTGTAGGAGTCCAAATTAAATAATTTCCAGCCAATGTCTAACCAGCTTCTCCTTAACACATCTTAACACAGCTTCCTTGGTACATGATCGTTCTTAGGGAAAAATCATTCTCCAGCTTTTGCTGCTACAAAGGTCTTTTTTTTTTGTATTCCTCCCCTGTGTCCACCAGAAGACCCTTGCTGCTGAAAGGAAACCCAATCATTTTTGAAGATGTATTATTCCATGACACCCGCTGCTATAACTCAGAAGACATGGCTGAGAATTTCCATCAGACATACTGTTGGCACAGCTGCACAGGTAAAGATCCTTGCATACAGATAGCAGTTTCACGGGAGGAGCACTGCTTCCAGAATACAGTGCCACCATCCTAAAGACCTTTCACTTTGTATCTGTTTGTCACCAAACAGAAAGGAATTGGCTGGGCTTGTTTGTGTTTTGCTACGGTGCAATTCTTTTTCTTCAAAGTAGCACAAGGCTATTTGTGTTTATACTCCTCCAAGTCAGTAATTCTACTTCTCTTATTGAACTGAAAATGCTAACCTTGGGTTTGCAAGCATGAAGCTGGCAGGCTACTTGCTTGCTAACTAGCAAGTGGAAAAGTTATTCTGGAAAAGATGAGACAGGTTTCTTCTCTTCCTCTTGAGAAGGACATAATGCAGGAATGAAAGTGTTAATTTTATGGTATGCATCTCTCCAAGTGTAATCCCCTCTCCAGGATACTTATTAAGAGCAATTAGAGACCTGAGTAGGCAATTTCCTCCTTGCTGCCCTTCCCCACATCTGAGTAACACCCCTCCAACTGCTACCTAAATATCTGATACATCCTAAAATCTCAAAAGGTCTTGCTAGATCATTTCTCTATTTGTAGGTTAATTTTAGAGGACCAATTTATAGACTTCAGCCCACGTACAGCATGTCCACACATCAGTCATCACCGTGCACATGCTTCCAAACTATCAGAACCACTGTCAGAATGGCCTACAGCTGTACTCACTACAGCTGTTGTGAGAATAGCCAGAGCCAACCAATTAGGGAGCACAGAAATTGGCCTCCAGCAAAAGCCCCCACCCTCGCTAGGTTAACTTGCATGAAGGGGAAATAAAAGGAAACCAGTCTGACTGGCTGCAAAAAATGAGCCTTAGAGTCTGGCATCAGTATGCAAGGATGCATGCTTTACGGTTGGGGGTGAGACTAGCCAAGGAGCCAGAGGCAGGTTTGGGTGGGAATCCTGCCAATGGAAAAGCTGTCAATCCTCAGGCCGTGCTAGTTCAGCATTTCAGATTACAGATGAAAAGAAAATTGGTTTAGCTGCCCCAGGAGGATGATGTCATGTGATTACCGGGGTATGGGACTGATTTGGGGAATGGTACCAAAGTCCCTTATGGAAAGCCCTTAATGAGTCCTTGGAATGTGTAAAAATGGTAGTTTTTGAGGGGTTTTTTTTTTTTTTGAGTACATCAATTTAACTTGTCGAATATCAGATACTTGACCACTGATTTTTTGATGATGATGATTATAAAAACTCTATGAACTCTATGCAGAGTTTCAGTTTTTTAATCTTCAAGTTTTAAAAATGGTTGCTTGCTTACATACATATACCCCCCCCCCCCCCCAATTTTCTAGGGACTTATTTCAAAATTGTATCCTTTTGCTCACTAGAAACGTTTTGTTCCTCAACCTAAATACCACAATGTGAACAGCTATTTATCCTTTTCACACAGAGTTCTCAATTTAACATTTTTCAATCCCAGGTTACATATTAAAAGAGAGATAAGTTAATAAATTCTTTGGTCAAATAAAGCCTCTGCATTTCAAATATTTACCTTGCAAATATCCAAAAGTGAACCAGTCTGGATGTTTCTAAAGATTTTTACTCAACATTCAGAGCTTCATTAATTACTTTTGTATGATGAATTGTGTCCAACAACCTGTGAAATATTTCCTACTAGACTACTTAAACAAATGTACTGTTAATTTTTAAAATTATTTCTGAAATCTAACATTTATTTGAAACCAAAAATTGTAACTTTTCAGTTAGTTTCATCTGCTAAATGAAATTTAAAAAAGAAAACTCCGAGTGACTGATATGAAATATACTGTCTTTTTTCTTGTAAAAGGCTGATTATCCATCATACAGAATATATAGCAAAGCAACTCACTGAATGTTTTTTTAGTTATTGCTTATGATTCTTTATTACAATAATGCAAACTATATCCAAAAAATCAGTAACACTATGTTATCCCAGAGATTAATGTACTTATTCTGGCATGAGACTTTATGAACAAAAGTACTATCAAATATATGAAAAGAGAACTGCATCAGAACCAGCATTCAAATGCAGAAAGCCACTGATTCTACAGCTGTGTTGTTTTTCTATGTATTGTTTCAGCCTTCAATGCCTTATAGTTCACCTGCACAACTTTTGGAATGCAGAGGCTGATATATCAGCTAAATGCATAGTAATAATAATCCCAAAGAGTTGATACTAGTTCCATAAGATCTCTATGTTGTCATCTGATAAAGTGAGCTGTAGCTCACAAACATATGCCTTTAAATAAAATTTGTTAGTTGGAAAAGACTCCCAAGATCTCTATCAGTAGGTATTTCATCTTTTAATGAATGGTAAATCTTTTGGCAGGGAGAAAGGTAAACATTGTATCCATAGCAGCAGCGGCAACAGGTAAGCCATATTGAGCCTAACATTCAAAGGAGCTCCTTTGGGTATAACATTGTATTCTCAGAGACTTAAAATATAGTTGATAATCATTTGGTGTTGGTCAGTTAATGATTATGGTCAGCTAATGCCCTCACAGTAATCAGTTTCACAATCAAGACTCCATGTTCTGTAGAACGCAGACTTCATCCAATAAGGCATAATGTCTTAGGGTGGATTTCTTCAGACTACAGGTAAGAACTGTCATTACTGAAGATCTCCTTTTTAAAAGCAACAAACCCTGCAAGACGAAAGTTAGTACCGAGAGTGGAAGCTTCTAACTGAGCTGCAAGAAAGCTTTTGACACAAGGCAGT